TGAATACATGCAAGTTAAATTTAAAACAAATTTTTCAGTGATTAATTTTGGAAATCTTGTTACAAAAATTATTGCTTCAAGCAAATTATTTTCTGAAGTTCACTCAAGCCTTTTGTGACATGTTTGCACCAAATTAAGATGCTACTAAAAGGAAAAACATTCTCCAGTAAATAATTTTGGAAATATATAGATATAAAATTTATTTATTGTAAGAGTTTTTGCCTGAAGTATACACATTCACAGGTATTTTCTGAAAAGATATTCCACTGAACCAAAATGCTTCAAACCTAAACCTCACCCAATTTCATTCAGCTGGGAAGAGAGAAACAATTGCCAGAAACAAATCATCTGAGCTGTATAACTCAGATTTTTTATACTCTGGCTGTTTAGTATTGAGTCAAAGCAATGAAGCTTGCGTTTTCCAGTCAGAGTACAGTAGCATACAGTGCAGTACAACATATATATACAGTACTTTGTTGTGCCAATGCCCTATAGACCAGCAGGGTCCATGGTCCAGGATCCCCCATTCAATGCTGGGGTTAAGGAGACAAAGGATCCCTGCACAGTTTATCCCTTTCTGTGGCTCTGAATGCGTGCAGCATGCATGTTGAAAAAGGTGGCTTTGGGGGGGGGGGGTTCCAAGAGCTCTGCGCAGTGTGGGATCGATCCGCCCCCCGGGGGCAAGGCATGGGGGAACACAGGGCTGTGACGTAACAGTATAACCTCCTCCTCTTCCTCCCACTGCATGTACATGTGCACCATGGGCATTTCACATATACAGTATCTATACACATACTGTATATATATATATATATATAGAGACCACATCTCCTTCCCTCTCTCTTTGTTACTCAACTCAGTAACCCCACTGTTTGGTTGCCAGAATCTGAGATTTTTATTTCAGTTTTATTTTTCAAAGTGGCTTATGCTGCAATTCTTGTTATACTGGTATTTTGTTACCGGTATTTAGAGAGAATCAAATATTCTCTCTAAATTGTTCATTCAACTAAACCTCATCCAGAAACAAGCTGAAGACCTTGTGCTTTAAATTGGGTTCATTAACTATGCTGCAATTGCTTCAATATTGGCTTATCCTGCAGTTCTTGGTATACTGATATTTTGTTTTCAATGTCAGGGTACGCATAAAAATCAGTCGTGCAGTGATATTTTGTGGAATGTATTTTCTTTTATTTTTGTTATCCATATATATGCATCTAATACAGTATCTCTGTTTCCCATTCTGAAATGACTGAATGTCTTTGAATGGATTTGGTTTGGGTGGGGAAGGGGTTTGGATGTGGGAACGTTGATTGAACCTTGTGAATGCTGAGAAGCGGAAAATAAATCTTTCTGTTCATTCATTCATTCAAACAGCTGGAGGTGCCCCACTGTTGCAAATTTTTGAAATGGGTTCAGAGAAGACAAGTTTGTACCATGAAACAAACCCTTTGGGATTCCTGGAATTTTGGGGGAAAATCCTGAGATGCTCTCTGGAATTCCTGAGGTGGTGCAATCTGAGATTGGTTTCACTACTGAAAATCTGTTTTTTATATCTTTGTGGCCATCTCTGGCCAATGCCTATAGTATCCTTACTGAAGGATAGTTTTACAAATGCCTTCTTGTTCAAATTCTTGTCATTCCAAATCTGACTCTTGTGTGTGCTGTTTGAAACATCCTGCCAAATTTTGACGTGTCTGATTCTGTTTAAACTGAAATATACCAATGTTAAAATAGGGTGAAATTCACCCCAGTTGTAGCCCAACAAAATCCATGCATTGTATTTTATTAAAAGTCAGTTTGGCGCAATTCAGAACACTTCACAGCCACACCTGGGCATCAACATCATAAATAATTGTCCAGGTGTTGGTATTTCTGTCATTGCCATATGCTGCAATTTTTATTATTGTACTGATATTTCCCATTTGTTATTGGGGAGGGGAAGAAAGTGTGTGCATTCTCATCAGTTGTGCAACTGTACATTTTGGTATGTATTTTCCTATCTTTTATTATCAATGTTAATATTAGAAAAGAAAAGAATACCATTTTCCAAATGGCAAAACTTACCCCAATATTATAATCGAACCAAGTCATCCCATCAAAACACTTCAAGCAAGTTGGCAGTCTTCTTTTCTTTATGGAAGAGAAAAAAACAAAAAGTAAAATACCCATTTTTAAAGATGATGTAGAATCTTGTTGCAACAAATCTCTCTTTTCAAAATTTAAGCTTCAATAATTGTATTTTTTAAACAATATTCCACTGTATTATTGGTAAACATCATTTTTCTGCAGCAGCCAAAATAGAGAGAAAAATTCGGGAAACCAAACTGCTGGACGCCTTATGAAAGAACGGGGAGGGAGTTGGGGGGTTTCAAGATAAGGGGAAAGAGAGGGAGGGAAGGAAAGAAAGAAAGATAAGGAGAAACAGGGAGAGAGTTGTTCGACCGGCTTGTGGTGCACATTCGCCGGCCGCTGTTGGAACTACAACTACATCAACTTCTGATATTGTCAATTTTGCAGGACTGTCAGTCGAAAAATTTACTCTTGAAAATAATGAAGTGGGGCTCCTACATACGGACAATCCGATTGAGTGACTCTCAAAACTCAACAACAAAAAAGCTTTGACATTCAGACAATCTCTCATATATAGACATCTTCTTGCTAAATTTTTTTCGAAAAATTTCAAAATTTTAATATTTCTAAAATTTGGGATCTCTTGAGCAAATGTATGTACTCAGAAATTAAAAAGACGTTCTATCATAAATTGAATTGAATTCATAATTCAAAACAGGCTTATTTTGAGCCTCTGTTCTAAAAAATTTTATTATAATTTACTGTAAGTATAGGATTATTGTAATTATTACTTGCTTTTGGGACTTGATTTCATGCCAAATAATGAGGAGATTCTATGTGATTTCTGTCTGCACAATTATTTTATGTATCTTATTGAGGTTAAATTAAAATTGTATTCAATATTTGGAGGACTTTTCAAAACTTTCAATAAACAAGCAGGAAGAAAAAAATGATCTCAGCATAAAAAAAAATTTTTACTTGACATTTTCTGAGATGTTGTTGGAGCACAGATGGAGAATGACTTTTAATTGGGGGTGTCTTTATTTTATCCACATGCTCTTGTGACATAAAATCATCACTCAAGAAGTCAATTTCAATGAAATCACAACTGAGTGAAATGTTTCTGGTTATACTGTATTTTGGAAAATACCTTGCACACCTTTTTCAAGAAAAATCAAGTTAGACCAGTGAATTCTGTGCTACAAGGGCTTGAATTTATTTTGAAAAATTACAGAACTATTTTCATTCTTGGGCATTGAAAGAAATGAAAAGGAATATTTTAGGTGCCAATAATGATTTAAATTAATTAGTTTATTCCAGGTCTGCTGTATCTAGTTTTCCAAAATTTATCATTTTGAAAAATTATAACATTCTCTGCCAACACAAACTGGGATTTGGGTCATACACAGGGATTGAGGTTCCTGGGAAAAACTAATGCATAATAACCAAGGTCTGCATCTTGTTCAATTCAATTCACTGCTTCTTCAAAGGAAATAACAATACAATGATCAATTCATAATTTGTTTGAATTGATTCAGCACAAAACATACAGGGTCTGTGTATATACAGTAGTATACTGTATAGAACTATATACAAGTCCCATTATATGCACAGTATACTTGCCTCTGAAGCATGATGAGACAAGCTGAATCATGATCCAATTCCATTATTTCGCCTCCCACACTACATATATATTTCTTCCTCCCACACCAAAGCAGGGTTTCTCCTTGCATCAAGTGGCTCATTCTCTCTCTATATCTTACAGGGGTTGTCCACAACAAAATTATCTCAACAAGCAATTTTCATCTGGCTTCTTCAATTTAATTGTAGAGAAATTCCTCCATATTGTTCCAGACAGAGTAAATATATAATCATCTTCTGGAAGAAGATGGATTTCTTTTTCTCGAATCTTGTGACGACGTGGCGTTTTCGTACGCCGCGTCGAATTTTTCTTCTCCTGTTTGTTCCTCTGACTCGGGCGACATCTAGTCATCCCGAGAAAAGCGGCGTGTCAGCGGGCGACATCTGTTTGACCCGTGACAACAACTCTTCTATATATTTCTCTTTATTCTTAATGGGGGATGTTTGGGATATTTTTGTTGTTTTTGGGGTTCTAAACCAGACTAATAGCTCCAAACTGCTAAATGAACTCTCTCTCTTTCTCTCTTTTTTTTCTCTCCTTCCTCTCTATCTCTCTCTCTCTCCAGCCAAATTCCATAACCTTCCATCTTTGTATAAGGGTCAAGGATCCAGTTTTCAAGGCTGATTTTTTTTTACAAAACATTTTGGTAACATTGCTATGCACAGTGGTTTATGCAGCAGAACTCTCTCAACAGCAAAACTTTGGTGACCAGAAGAAAACATTTCCATGTACTGTGATTGTGTTTTCATTTAATTCCCATTTGTAGTGAAATATTTCTTCTGGCATTATATGGAATGCAAATGTGCAGAAGTGAGAAAAAATTGTATACCTCATATTTTGGGAAACTGACAGGTGGCAAATAAAACTTGCATATCAATCAATCAGAGAGAAATCCACAATAGAAGGAATTTTGTTGTGGATAACCCCTTTTTCTGGGTATATATAGAGAACCTGATGGGACCAGCACACAAACATTTTGTTACATACACAGAGAAAAGTGCTGTCAACAAACTCATTGTATAGTCTATCTATGCCTTTGATTTTCTGATCATTTATGTTGCCTCTTTTTTTTTTACTTGATCATTGACTGCTGGGATCCTGGTTGTCCACTCAGAGCAGTGAAAAGGGCTTATCAAACAAGCAAGGTGCCCTCTTGTATGTGATGGTTCAATGGAGAGGAAGGTTGTTGAGCAGGCCTTTCCACTCAAAGTGCACCCAGCTGGTGGATGCCTGCTCCTCTGACTGCATGCATGGGGCCAGGACAAGAGGTGGGTGAATTGGGAGGGAGATGGGGGCACAAGTGGGGGGTATTCCAGGCGCAGGAGAAACCCCCCCACCCCACCCAGCCCAGCCCAGCCCAGCCCAGCCCATCCCATCTCAGTCCAGCCCAACCATGGGCCAGTTGAGCTTGCATGACATTTTTTTTTTCTCTACACTGATTGTGCCACTGTCACACTTTCTAAACACATGTAATTGATACCTCATATATTGTGAGAATAATGAAGGACATTTACTGTGCATGGGTTCACCTCATTCTGCCTAAAAGTGGTAAATGAAATATTTAGTGTCAAGGATATGAAAAAAAACTCTTCAAGTGGTTATCTTTCCTTTGTTTCATATGTGATGTGCTACATAAAACATTGTTAAATGAAATATAGTGTCAGGGTTGAAAAAAAGAGGAAAGAATCACTACAAGTGTTCTTCTCTTTTTAGTTTCATGTGATGCCTATTTTGATTGCCATCCTGCTTTCATTTACAGATTGCCAAAGTGAGAATAATAAAGCAGATTTTCTGCTGGAAGGAAACACAGGAGTGTATCACTTTGTTGCTCAGTGTTGTTGAGGGCTGTATACCAGCAAAACATTGGCTTCAAGTTTGGCAGATACAGTGTTTGACAAATTCAGAAGAAAGCCACAGATCCTGAGAGCAAGTACTTTGTCTTTGAGGTGCCATTGAAATCTGTCAAGAATCTGTCATACATTGCTGCTGGTAAGTCATGTATTTCAACCTTTAAGTCCTTTTGATCAGTACATGTACTATGGACATCACCTGTTTTAGAGCTAGGTTCCTGGAGCAAAATGTTCTCACTGCAGATCATAATTTCTCATTTAGACTTCTATGGGAAATCATTTAATTTGTTCCAAATCTTGCAAGAAATCCCAAAAAATTTAAAATTTTTTTATTTGTATCAAAGAAAGTTTTCAGAAATCCTTGAGCATTACCCTCTAACATGTGATAAAGTAAACCTACGATCCAAACCTTTTTTGAAAATTGCTGAGATGAAAACTGTTCATGAAAATTGGTTTTAAACTTGGTTTCCTTTTCCAGTGTGCATTGCAAGTTGAATTGTTTCAAAACTTTTCATCCTTATAGGTGGTTTTTCTCAAAACAAACAGATATAAAATCAGGGTTTAATTTAAATTTTAGAAAGCGTAGATTGCAAGTGTCAAAATGTTTTTCAAGGGGATTAAGCTCACAGCTAAAATTCTTTGAAAATGGATTTTGCTTTGAGCATAACCCTTGCAATTCAAATTTCAATCCAGAGATTAAAAACACAAATCCACTGGTTTAAAATATTGATGCACACATTTTTCAAAATTGCATCTTGGGCCAGGTTATGCTCAAAGCAGAATTTTGTTTGAAATGTGTCTGCTTTGAGCATAGCCCTCTTAAAAACAAAAAATATTGAAAAAAAATCTAAGGGGTTAGGATCATTTGGAATCCATTTTTGACCCTGTATAATGCACACTTTCTGAAAAACTGACTTGACCTATCAGTTTTGAAAGTTTTTGGAGAAATTCCAGATGGAATTCCAATTTCAAAGACAATTTTCATTTCAAAATTTTTAGGAGATCTGAACTGCAGGCTTTACAAATATTCTATGACTAATTGACTGTTGACTTATTTTTGAACAGCATGCAGCCATATTCTTCTTGTATTTTTATTTTCTAATAACTGCAGAATAATACCCAAAAGACTGGCAGCAATTTGAGTTCTGGATGTTTGAGCAGTAAAGTCTTCAAGTTAGGTGGGTTTATTCTACAGGTGGGGCTCTTACTGCAATATATAATCTTGCCTGCAAAACTTTTTTTGGCATACAAAATTTCATTTTGGCCCAATAAAAGGTTCTCTCTCTATATCTTACAGGGGTTGTCCACAACAAAATTATCTCAACAAGCAATTTTCATCTGGCTTCTTCAATTTAATTGTAGAGAAATTCCTCCATATTGTTCCAGACAGAGTAAAAAGTATAAAAAATTTGGAGATTTCTGACTTATGGAGGTTTGAATTAATATGTTGTACAACTGTATATGCAGTAAAATCTTGTTACAGCAAAGTCATTATTGGGATGAGAAAAACCTTAGTTTTGAGAAGCACTTGGTTGTGGATAAACTCAAAAAACACAGCAAAAATTGCACTTAGGGACATGAAGAGCACATTTGTTGAAAGCATTAATTTCTTTCAGCAACGTTATCCTGATTGTTGGTTGAATGTGTTGTGCAAAATGTTTTGATACATGTCATTCATTTCAGGTATATACTTGGAGATCAGGTATAGCTTGGAAGCAGTGGGATTTTAGCCTCATTGGCAAGTCTCCAACCAAGGAGTCAAGATTTCTTTCGCAAGCTTCAGACAATCCTTCCTCACCAATGCTAATTACTTGAAAAGAAGGCAAGTGCTTTTGTCTATATACAGAGGCACTCCCCCCCCCCCATGTAACAGACCTCCTGCAGAAGGGATTTTTGCCTAAAAGACCAGCTGTTCAGGCACTCTTTCCTCCTGCCCAAACAACAAAATCCACTGAACAGACTTCTGTCGGTATTAAGTCTTTAATACCTTTAAGTCTTAATCCTTCAAGTCTTGATCCAATGATTGCTGTTGAGACAAACTTTGTCAAGAAGTATTAATCTTATGGCAGGAGCAAAGCAAGTGAGACAACTTCTCTTAGTCTCAGATACGTATATTTCAGATCATGCACAACAACAGTCCAGACCAGCAATGAGCAATGAAAGGAGTGTTTGGATGCTCCTTTATAGACACTGAATACGTGGGACAGGTAACTGACTGCACAGGAATAGAATAAACAGAAAGTAAACCAAGTCATGTGAATGAACAGTCAGCAGACACTACAACACATTCTGGTGCACTGAACCCAACTCGTTGCTAGGCCGATCTCACATATGAAACACAGTTTGAGAACGGGGTAATATTGTGAGTTCAAGGACTCACAATTATTAAAATGACAACATGCATTTCAAAGAACTCAACAACCCCTCAAACAAAATAAAATTCAACATGATTTCCCTTATTTGTCTGTTTTTCTTGAGTATGCCACTTTTCCTCAATTAAGTAAGACACACTTTAATTGGGATTTTTAAGCCTGAAATTTTGATGAAATCCTTTCCCTAAATGCAACGAAATTTTCATCAAATGAACTGTACTGTAATGCTTTAAATGTATGAGAGGCACCAAAATTCAAATTTGGGCACTGGTGCATCCTGAATATAACTGATTTTGAATTTTTATGAAATCAATTTTGATAAACTGATCTCTGATGAAGTATCAATAAACTAAATTTTGTAAGTGAGGTACTCACCCCAATTCTTGTAGAATGCAAAACTCTAATACTCTAAATCAGTGTTTCCCAGCAGTCATTGGACCATGCTGGTCCACAGAAGTTTTTGCTGGTCCACAGGAAGTGTTGTCAATCATAATAAATGTCTCAAAACTATCAATGAAGGACCTTACAGTTGTCAGGGGCTCTCATGAGGCCTCTCTGGCAAAGATTTGTGTTTCACTTATTTAGATTGTAAGAGAGAGGGAAAACACAATTGGCTGTTTGCGGCCTAGGTCTTGAACACCTTTACCTGAATTTATGTCTCCTTTCAACAATGTTCAAAAATAGTCAGCACACACAAAAATGTTAGGTCTGTTCTCTCCTGAGCTCAGAATGGAAGTGACTCCTTCTTCTCACGAATTTCAGCAGGTCCAGGTCCTCCCCAGTGGAAAGTTAATATTCACAGCTTTCCACTGGTGTGTGTTCAATTGTTCTGTCCACAAGTCCAGTTAGATCCATTTGATCAAAGGGCTGATTCACACAAGTGGAATAAGTCCTGAAGATCATTATCTCCAAGGCTGGTCTGTTGATGGTTATATAAAGAAGTATGTTTTTTTCTGATTGTATGCCAGGTTGTACTCTGCTGTACCTCCTTTACTTGGGTGACATCTAGTTGGCCTGAGTTAAACGGCACGTCAGTGGGCAACATCTAGTCAACCCGTGACAACAACGTCTTTGCCTGAAATTTTTGCGCAAGACAATTGCAGTTAAAATTACCTCAAAAAAGTCAAAAATTGGCTTTTCTCACATGTAACACTTCAGACAAATTTTTACCTGAAGAAAAACAGTTTTTACCTGAAGGGTTGAGGTCCTCAGCAGAACCCCTGACAGTACTTGTGTATTAATGCAGTAAATTTTATTATTTTTCACAGGTTCTCATCCGGGGACTTGTCCGCGGATGGGGAAGAAGACACCCGCGAGGAGGCGCTGGCGGCAGCTCAGCAGCCTGGCGTCCCTGATGGAATCACCAATAGGTACGCCACCGGCGCCGGTGACCCTCAGCAGCAGCAGCAGCAGCAGCAACAGGCGCCAACTGGCCCGAACGGGGTGCCAGCTGGGCCACAGCAGTCGTCGGCCATCAGACCAGGCTACAACCGGGCTGAGTCAGCACAGCCCGATTTGTCCCTCAATTTGCGCCAGCAGCAGCATAGCAAGACCATCAGTGCCCCAACGTCGCCATCTAGGTGAACAAATGTGCAACAACGGTTCAAAAATGACCTCTTATGCATATGATGATGATGAACAGCATGGGACCTCGAGATGTGGACATTCTTATGGTGCATTTCCAAAGACTTGAATGGGAATATTTTCAAATAAATTATCCCCCTGCATAAATGAATAGTTGAGGAAAAGTCCTTCTTCAAATTATTGAATAAAATATTTTTCTGAACTTCAAAACCCCGAAAAAAAAATGTACAGAAGAAAACCACACAGAATCTGATCTTTTGGCATCAAAAGAAGCTAAGAACAAGAACAAGTATAGCATTAATGACCATGATAGCAAAGACTAAAAAAACCCCACAGAAATAGCCTGTTTGTATGATGAATAAGATAATTTTACTATGCAATTTTTTTTAACATTTTAACATGTAAATACAGTCATGAGTCATATTTCAAGTCACAATTTCTCTAAGTTGAGTATCATTTTGCCTTGGACTTACATGATTTAATTTTTATTTGGTGTTTCATGGAAGAAACATTCATCAGAATTCCATGAAATAAAAGAAAAATAATTGTCTGCCAATTGAAACTGATTCAATCAATACATTTCAGCTCAATAAGTACTTTTGGAGAATTGATTATACTGTACCTCTGTAAAGTGCATTGAAATGTTGGCATTCTCTGTAAAAAAATAAAATTCAAGTGAAAAATAGAGAAAGAAGTACCTTATTCTATGCTGGAGGCATTTTTTAAAAATAAGCTAAATGAATAGTAAAAGGTTCAGAGAAATGCCAAAGAATTTTTCTTACATAGATCTTATGATAAGGAATATCTGTTTCTTATTGTAATTTGACCTGAAACTTGTTTGCAATTTTAGCCCTCAATGTCCACATCTTGAGTTAGTGTCCGCATGTTGGTCCTTTTTATATGCATTTTTATAGGATCTGTATGTCAAATTGTCCACATTTCATGGTATCTGCATGTGGTGGTCTCACTGTTAGCTGAATTTCTTCAAGAAATATAAAAATGTATAAGAAAGAAAGTTTCTAAAGTTTTCCAGGAATTTTGGAAAGGTATTTGTAACTTGAGTCTGGATATTGGGGGTAGATTTTTTCAGTTCTAAATGTCTTTAAATCAAGTTGTCCATGTTTTTTGGTGTTCATACTTTGGGGTGCTCTCAGTGTATGAATTTCCTCCACTTCACAATTAAATTTAGGGTGAAAAAGGGTGGAGGGGAGGATGTTGGTAACACTTCTCAAATCTTTTGAATGCTGACTAGCAGTACATAAAGCTTTTACAGTACAATTGTGTTACAACAAACTCCCATCAGGGACCTGATAAAAATTCCTTATCAGAAAAAATGCATTGCATCAAGATTTGTAGTTTCTAACACACTCATGCTTGAAATCATGTGAGAAATAGGCAAGAAATACTGTAAAGTGCTTCCAAAACATCAAATTCATCACCTATCATAATTATTGAGTATTCATTATTATTTTACACTGCTGCCTTAGTCTCATTTGAAATGTACAGAGTCCAAGTGACTTACTGAGTCATATTAGAATGATAAAAGGTGCATGTTCCTCTGAAAAAAGGAAATAAGTGAAACCCTTCTTCTTCTTCTTCTCATACAGAACTGGTGGGCAGAGCTTTTTGCAAAAGATGACCAATTTGACCAGGGATGTGGTTGGAAAAGTGGATTCAGTTGCCAAAGGAGGTGCTCCTGGGTACAACAGAGACCGCTGCAAGATCCTGCTGGTGATTGATGACCAAAACACTGATTGGTGAGGCAAATTAGTTAAAATTTGAAACATAACTGTGAACTTATATCTCAAGGATTTTCATCCAAAAAAAAAAAGCTAAGAGTTACTGATGAATGTACAAAATTTGATTCCCTGTCTTCTGCCAGTAAAGCATTTCACACAGTGTGGAAACCATATTTCAGTCCTTTTCAAAGCATTTGTTGTCCCTTTTTTGTGTCATTTGCAATATACTGCATGGACATGCTTTTTCAGCATATCTTTTGAAAAATGAAAGGAAGAAATTGCTTGGTTCAGCACTTAGCACATGCCTTTGAGATACAAAAAAAAAATGAGGTGCATTCTCATTTGAGATATACAGTATTTTAAATCAGGAATGTACTTGAAGTCAAAATAAAACCCCCTAATGTTTCACTGCAATGAGTTCTTGTTCATAACTTTGACAACCACATAAAAATCATTTGTTTGTTAGTGCATTTGTTTCTGACATTTTTCATTTTGATGTTAAAGGTCCAAGTACTTCAGAGGCAAAAGGCTTCCTGGAGACTATGACATCAGAGTGGAACAGACTGAATTCAAGGACATCTCTGTGAGCTCTACATCTGAACTTGGCACCACTGTGTCCATCACTGGCTTCAAGGCAGGCTCCAAAACTGTCAGGCAAGCATCATCTCAAAACACAACCAACCCTTGCTTCAGAAGGACTCATTGAATTCCAGTCATTCAGCATTTTATTGAAACTTCAACTTTTGTGGAAAATTTCTTCCCAAAAAAATTTCATTTACTGAAAAGCATACTGCTTATAACATTCCAAATTTAAAATTTGTGTGGGTCTGGTGCAAAAAGAGAACATTAGTAGGATATTCCAGTCAGTATCTTGAATGGAGTCACACATTATAAGCACAACATCATCATCACATAAATGATTGAGTGAACTCACAAGTGCTCTAAATTCAGTATAGTCAGAACAATACAAGTGTGATGGTACAGTACCTTGCAATTTGACCTCTCACAATTTGACCATCCATGACATTTTATTTTTGAATTTTCTGAAAGGTTGACTTCCAATTCAACCTCTGCCCTGCAATTCAGTCTGCTTTGGTCACTTTTCTTGAGTTCTTGTGCTGTTCTTGCTTATTTTTACACAGTGTCCTACTTGAAATTCAATTTTTAAGAAATGGATTGCTGTCAAATTGTGGGGTACCACCTGTATATGAATACACATTCATGGCCATTTTGAGGCAATGAGTGACAAAGGTAGTTCTTCTTCAAGGGTTGACTGTACAGTCAACCCCTGCAGAGTGGACTCAATTTGTGCAACAAACTACCATATTTACTCAAGTTACACGTGCACCTTTTTTCCCAAATTTCAGAAGAAAAAAGAGGGTGCGTGTCATAAGCCAGTAAAAAATTTTCAAGAAGTTTTAGGAAGTTATGTTTGCATTATACTCAATTATAATGGAGAAATTTGGAACAATTATAACAAGAAAACATTTTTGCATTGAAAAAATTGAAAATTCATCAGATCTTTGTTCAATTCATGCCTAAAGTCACATTTTTTTTAATTTTATGGTTTTAGATTCACTAAAAATTGGGGTGCGCGTCTTACTTGGGGATAAATTTTTTGCAAAATTTTCAACTGAAAAACCCCTGTGCATACCTTACTTGAGGGCACGTGCTGGTACTCAAGTAAATACGGTAGTATGTTATGTGAAAAGTCTGTTATGCAAATTCAATTATTGAAAACGTTGAAATTTTGACTTTTCACAAATCATTTTAAACCAACAGAAGTCTGTCAGGTGGATTTTTTCATTAGGCAGGTGGAAAAACTTCCTCCAGAGGCAGTCTGTTAGGTGAAAATCCCTTAGGCAGGAGTTGACTCTATTAGTGATGGAAAAGTTAAGCACCATTGCCCTTCCCATAGTCAACATTTGAAGACTGGCTAAATTGAAGCTTATGCCTCACCCATACTGAAGACATGAAACCCTTTTTGATTTTCAGGACAGTGAAGCCAGACTATGTGCTGATAAGACAAAATATGAGAGATGCTGGAGAAGACTACAAGAACATCCTGCTGGGACTCAAGTTTGGTGATGTGCCTGGGCTGAATTCCCTGGCTTCCATTTATGCATTCCAGGACAAGCCCTGGGTATTTGCACACTTGCAGGACATTCAGAGGAGGATTGGGAAGGAGAACTTTCCTCTCATCCAGCAAACCTACTTTCCTAACTGCAGGGAAATGGTGTGAACTTGGATTGTTTGTCTCTACATAAAGATCACTAAAGATTTGCTTTTCTTTCTAAATTATTTTGGTATCTATCAAACAAATAAATGAGCCAATGCAATGGAGACACTGTAAAAAAACACTGTACAGTATTAAAATTTTATTCCAATTCATTGTCAAAATCAGGCAATTGTGTGATGCTTCTTCATTCATGAATTGTCCCCTCAACTGTGCATAACTGTAAAGTAAAGGAATATTGTATACTTGCTTTTATATTTGCCTTTTCAAATCTTTTGCATCCCAAAAAGCCAACTTCTGTGGTTGGTTTTACGTGCCAAAGTTATTTTCTGTGTTTTTCAGTGAATAGACATTTTCATTGAATGTCTTGCAGGACTATTTCTAAACATGTGAAGTGATTTAATGATTCAATATGTTTCTATTCAAGTCTATGTGAAAATGTGATAAAAAAGGGCAGTAAATCTGGATCTTGAGACTCCATTGTTATTTAAAATTTAATGTCATGTTTATCTAAGCTTCCTGATGAAAACCTCTGAGAGTTGTAAAATAATATGGGAGTTTATTTCAAAACTTTGTTTGAATATCATATGATGTGTGTGATTTTTCTTTTTTACATTCTTGCAGATCACAACACCCAAGTTCCCAATAGTACTGAAGATAGGACATGCTCATGGAGGCCTGGGGAAGGTGAAGGTGGAAAACATGTCAGATTTCCAGGATCTGACAAGTGTTGTAGCAGTGGCCAACACTTACTGCACAATTGAGCCTTATATTGAGTCACGCTATGACATCCACATCCAAAAGATTGGCACCAACTACAAGGCCTTCATGTAGGTGCTTTTTGAGAGAACATTTCCCTACTTTTTTCAAGTGCTGTGATTTATATTTGTCTTTGTTCATCATTTGAACATTGTTGGGTGTAAATAGCCACCAAAGGAAGAAATAATCAATGCTTAAATCAATAAGTCCTTGTTTTGTGACTCAATACTATAAATAAAATCCATTGAAACAATTTTGGGGAAATACTTTTCATGCATAAAAAATGCAATAAATTAAAATTTATTGGCTGCTGTTGAAGCCAATTCCAGGAATTTTCAATTTTTTGTTTTCCTGGGTCTCCTGAAGAGCATAACTTGGTGTGATTCCCCAAAAACTTTCTCAATTGATAAAATCAGTGAAATAATTCTCCCAATATTGATCCATAAAACAGACAGTAGTTTAGAAACATGACTGAAATGTCACTGAGCACATTTAACTTTCTCAACAGCCAACCCCAACCATTAGAAACTACTGTATGCTCAAGTGAAGTATGTGGAACACTTTTTGAATCCACTGGTTTTTTCTGTTTATAGAAAGGACAATCTCAAGATTTTTTTCCCCTGATATTTGGATTTAATTTTGTGGAATTTAGGAGGAAATCCATGTCTGGGAATTGGAAGACCAACTTGGGAAGTTCCTTGCTGGAGCAGCAAGAGGTTCAGGACCGCTGGAGGATGTGGGTTGATGCAGTGTCCCAACTGTTTGGGGGACTTGACATTTGTGCCATTGAAGCAGTTGTTTCCAAGGATGGAAATGAGTACATCATTGAGGTATACAGTACATTGAACACCTTTGAGCCACTGGAAACACTTGATCAGAGGCAATGACAATGAAAGAGATAAATTTGTTGTGCAGTTGAACCATAACCCCCACAAGTCAAGTGCCATATATAAAGCTATGATAATGATATTTTTTTCAAGTCACAAGCTGCTTTTGTGTCATATAACTATTTGTTGTGCATTGAGAGACATCTATGTCTCTATAATATTGATACCGGTGAACCTCAAAAACTCAAACCTCACTAAATTAAATTTTTTAAAGTCCATGTCAGAATTCCCTTGGAAACAATGCATTGAAAACCTCCCTAAATAAGGTTAGTACAGCCAGAGGTACCTTGCAATTTGACCTCCTGCAATTTGACCATCCTGCAATTCAGCAGTTAAATTTGCTGAACAGTTTGCTTGCTTGAAATTCAACCCTTTCCTACAAATTCAACCTGCATTGGCCACTTTTTTGCATTTTTGTACTGATCTTTTTTGAATTACACAAAGTTTCTTGCAATTTTACCATTGAAATAAGCAATGTTTGGGCAATTGAACCCTGTTGCCTTCAAGTTGAGCATCATCCTATCAACTGCATAATTCATAATTTAGTTTTGCACTCTGAAATATCACTGTTTACAACTTCCTCCAACCCTCTTTCTTTTTTCAAGCCAAAAGTAGTAGTTTCCCTATGTTGAATCCTCACTAAATTGAATCTGCGATGGTCCCTTTCAAGTTTATTTGAAAAGGTTCAAGTGTAGCACTTTCTTAAGGCAATGAAAACAAATGCTTATTGGCTTCTGAATAATTTTTTTCTGACAACTATAAAATAAAATTCTTATTCTACTAAAAAAAAACCAACCAAAGTAGCCATGGGACACAAGAATTATGTCTAATTTATTTTCCCTAGGTGTAATATATATCAGCTTTGTTTTAATTTTGTCATTTTTGGCCTCCAACAGAAACTTGCATCATGTTGGTGGGGTTTCAAAGATAAAATTAGTTGCCAGGAGTTTATGTCAGTTCCAATAATTTTAGAGGGTAGCATTTTAAGGGAATTTGCAATATTTGTTTAAAGAAAGACTTGTTTTTCATTATGATTTTGTGGTTGTCAAAGTTGATGGCTTACTGATGGGGATCTTGATAGGCTTCAACTGTTCTTAAAACTCATTTAATCATCATTGATTGCTTCGTTTCAATTTTTGCAGGTGAATGACAGTGCCTTGTCACTGTTTGGAGAGTCTCAGGAAGAGGACAGGAGGCACATTGCAGAATTGGTTTTGTTCAGGATGCAGGTAAGCTACTCTGAAAGAAATTCAAAACCTTGAAATGGCAAAAAATAATGCTCTTCTGCGGCAGAATTATAGTTGCTTATCTGTTCTTTGTTTTGTTCACTGTTACCATTTGAGGATAAAAGTGTATATAGAATTACATTCAATAGGCCAGAATGATTTCTCCATTCTTCAAAATACAGAAGCTACCACCTGAATTGTTCAAGTAATTGAAAACATCTGGGAACAGGTTAAAAAACCTTATTATTGTGATTGAATTTTCTCATTTTGGAAAAAAGTTGTAAATTCATTGTTCATGCATGCACATCTTTTCTTTAATGCCTCTCTTTCTTGATTACCTTTTTTTAATTAGGAAGGTTTTAAAGTATTGTACAGTGAGACCCTCTTTTGCATCAAGTGGCGGTGCCAGGATTCTTTTGCAGGCTTTTGCATTTTGGTTTGACCAAAGGTCACTGAAATGCAGCTTTAGCTGAGTAGCCAAAGTTGGAAAAAAGCCTGCAAAAAGAAAGTTGTTGTCCTGATAATTCCCTTGATGCTATAATCCTTTGGCAGGGATGAAGAAAAAAATATCACCCAACATTAACTTTTTTCTTGTGCTTTTTTTTTTTT